TTTTTGTATACATATAGTGATTACGTAAAATCAAATACAGTATGTTACAGGCCCCTGTGTTCGTCATCTCCACTTTTGATTTCACTTTGTTACTGACTAAAGCTAACCATTTAACGCCATATCAAGCTAGTGCAGGTTATGACAAAATAACATTAACTTAACAAGATGTGTTTGTGAAACTTATGCGCCCGGCGGCAACAAAATTTTTAAAAAGCTATTTTTAGCATATATGTCACATTCAAGGTCACAAGGTCATTGACCTTGGTGTCATTTGAAAGATCTTGATTAGTAAAGTATGGATACCAAAAATGAAGTCTCTATCTCTTGTGGTTCAAAAGTTGTGGCAAAGGTACGAAATAACGATTTCTAGCATACAGGTCACAGTCAAGGTCACAAGGTCATTGACTTTGAGTCATTTGAAAGAGGCTAACTAGTGAAGTAGGAATACCAAATATGAAGTCTCTATCTTTCACGGTTCAAAAGTTATGGTGAAGGTTCAAGTCTGCAGATAAAAAGCTATTTTAGCCTATAGGTCACAGTCAAGGTCACAAGGCCATTGACCTTGGTGTTATTTGAAAGAGCTTAATTACTTGAGTATGCATACCAAATATGAAGTCTCTATCTTTCATGGTTCAAAAATTATGGCGAAGGTTAAAGTTTGCAGACAAACAAACAAACAAACATACAGACAGGATAAAAACAATATACGCCCCAGATCTATCAATCCAGGCGCATAAATAGGAGGTTGAGAGACTTATATAACAATTTAGGAGTATGAGAGACCTATATAACAATAAAATCAGCGAAGAAAAGAAATGAAAAAAGGGGTTTTGAGTTTGGCGTTCACATTTTGGCCTTAATATACATCATTTGAGTGCTGTCTATCACCCACGATGCATTGATAAAGCTCATGCAAAGAGAACTAAATTCATTATCTGGAAACTACTAGTATATCTTGTTCAACATGTGAGTTTATTAGATGTCTTCTTTTTTATTTAATCCCCCCCCGAAAAAAAAAAAAATTTCATTGCAACAGATTATTATGGACACAGAGAACTTAATTTTCGATCGAATCCTTTTGCCTGAAAATAAATCAGTATGGAAATATAAACATAAGGAATTTTGAGACATGGAGAACTATGTGACACAACGACAGAGTGACAAAGTTCTCAAGACAGACAGACAGACGAGCCTGTGTGTTCAAAAAACACACACAAAAACACATCGTATTGACGATTTTTCCCTTTTCATTCTAGACCGACATATTTGTTAAGTAGTTCACCGTGTCATAATTCTAATTCATTAACACAGAAAACAAGGAAGCTCTCCGAAACTTATTTGTTCCTCTATAACTTCTTAAAAATCGACCTAAATATTCCGCGGTTTTCAGCTATTAAAACATGCTCATACGAACTAACATCTGCAATTAAAATTCCGACTTTACCCCAAAGATTTCCTGTAGCTTACTGAGTTTTTTATGTTAAAATATTATCGGCTCATTTAATAAAATAGATCTCGATCATTTTTAGTTATCAATTTATATATTTTATGAATAGCAATAATTGACCAAAAAAAAAAACCGATTCAAATGAAGCTTGTAAATTTTGTATTTACTGCCACCCGGTAAATTCAAAATTTACAACATGACGCAATTAATGATTTCTTTAAAACAGAAGTTCTAGAAACTTAGTGTAATAATGAGTGTAACACGTGGCACTGTGTCAGGAAAAAAAATCAACAAAGCACTTAACCATGGGAAGTGGAAGACATTCCTTATATATTATGCCACCGCAGTCAGAGAGAGAAAAGGAAGTAAACAGTAATAGTAAAAAAAAAATAATAAAAACATGTCAATTCGCAGATTTGTATATTCGATATTATAAGTAAAAATATTCTGTTAATAAAAAAGACTTGAGGAGAAAATACATGTTTTACAGTAATGATTGTCCCCCCTTCTTCTCGCAGATTAGGGTGATATATATGATATACAGTGAAAACTGACTAATCCGACATCTGTGTAATCCATCATACTGTCAATGCCGACGTTAATTTTCATTCCCATTTTACTATATATATATTTATTATGTTTTTGTAAACTGTCTAATCCGACCCTTTGTCTATTTGTATATAGATCTTTAGATATCAGTGACTAATAAAAAGGTCTATGAAAAGTCCATTGAGTTAAATTGCGTATTGTTGTATGATACTCGTACATGTATTACATGGATACATGTATATAAAACCGATGTTCAGTTCAAAGTTGAACATAACAGGGGCTCTGTTTATGTTTTCTTTGTTTCGCTTTGTTTTTAATCTTTAAAATTACAACATATTTTAACTTCATATCATTTTTTTTTAAAAAATTCAAGGTGGTTAAAGAATGTAAATAAATGGATATTCAATATAATAAATCAATATATGGGTCAATATAAAAAAAAAGCAGCTAAACGTGTCACTTCTTTGTAAAATCCTATTTCTTATTTTCTCCCAATTTTGGATTGTTGCTTTATAATCTATGGCATCTATACTTTCTATTTACTAATAGAAATTTCCACATAATTAATTTCATTAAAGTCAATGATGATTTTATCACACCAATCAGCCAAATTCATGCTGTCAATGGAATTTTTCTCTTCAAATAAGGATAAATACGCCAAAAATTATATGAAATTTTGTCTGAAAAATCATGTATGCATAAAATAAATGTTAAATAGAATACACATTGGAATAAAAAAAATATGAACCCATCTTCCATTTAACTGATACAGCATTAAATATGACTGTACAAGAAAGTTGTGTCATTGGTGTTACTATTTTTGTTTTTGCTACAAAAGAGTTATCATTCCTGATAAGAGAATATAAACAGTGCTAAGTCATATTACATCACTTCTCACCAAAAAGAACAGAAACTGTTCCTTGATATTCATGATCAGAATATATTGATTGACTTCAGAAGTAAAGAAAGTACACTAGTACAAAATTTTTTTGTCAGTGGTGTTTCCATCGTTATTTCAAAACGATTTTAGATATGCATTGAAATCTTTTACGAAAGATGTTCTTTAGGTGAACTAATAGCAATGTGGACAAAAATTTTACTTTATCCAGGGTAAATTAGAGATACCAGATCATTTTATGACTAATACGTCATTAGTGTTACTGTCATTGGCATTACTTCCTGAAGTTTAACACCAATGACAGGAAGGGTTACACCATTCACAAAACAAGTACTTTTGGAGGCAAAATATATTATTCTTATACAGAAAAATTATTTATTTGAATTCTACTTTGCTAAACTAATTTATGGTGTTTGAAAGTTATTTGATTTATTTTCCAATAAATATTTTTTTCCTACTTACAGACATTTTAAATACATGTATATGGTAATGCCAATGACAACTTCAGATCATATACATGTAACACCAATGACAAACATTTTTTATGCTCATAAAATATATTTTCCTTTCTGAAAAATTCACAGGCCGTGCATGAATGTCAGAGTTTATTACCTAAGTAAAGTAAAATTGGTCAAGTTTAACTTTGTTTGTTTAAATTTCTCTATGAATAGTTACCTTTTTACGGTAACACCAATGACTAGTGAAGTAACACCAGTGACAAGAGATTTTGATTAATACATTTTATCTACTAGTTCTTTAATGAAGAATGTGGGATTTAAAACATTATATCCGTCACAAATGAGATCCTTTTTACCCTACCAACATTATTTTTTTCAAACCAATGATAAACCAACACTGTATTTCTTTCAGCTTTTACCATGCATTTGTATACAGTATACGTGTGCGGCTTAATTGAAGAAAAGTGCAAGAAAAAAATTAATGTTTGCAATAGGGGGTTTTCTCCTATATTTTTTTTTAAAGTTATTTAAATATCTACATAAATCACTTATTTTTAAAATGATTTAATGACAGTACATCTCATGTAGCTCTGCATTATTCTATGGTCACAATGGGATAAGTCTTTGTCACTGGTGTTACCAGATTTCTTTTTGTTATAAGATTCATTTTAAGTATGAAATCCCAGAAACTTATTTAATTTTTGTATGTTAGCCATGCAGTGTATTCTGTCTTTCACATGAAGTTTCATGTTTTATTATGTTTAATTGCTAATTGTTAAGTGCTTAGTCATTGGTATTACTAATTTCTGTCATTGGTGTTACAGTTAAGTCAGTGGAATAACCAACCTAAAACTTAATATTTTTTTACTTTTAATAAGTTTAAAAGTAAGAAATAACTTTATATTACCTAATTTCACTCCTTGAAAAAATCATAAACTATATTATTTTGATTTATACACACATGGCACCACATTTACAGCATAGTTTAGCGTGTGTCTATTAATTTTTGTCTCATGTCAATGTCCAAATATGATTGAAAACTTAATTTTCATCACTGGACAACTTTTGGACTTATCAGTTAACTTGAATAATCCATAGCTTGCATTCATAAATTTTTCACTTGATTCTATACAACAAAATTTTATAAGGTAACGCCAATGACAGAAAAACAGTTTGATAATTTTTAGAAGAACATTCTGAAAACAATAGCTTCCCTACTGTTTGCTAAATGTTGTTTTCCGAAAATATTGTGTAGCTTTATCAATTTAGATACAAAAAAGAAACGGAAATATTTATTTGTATCTCCAATTTTCATATGAACCATTTAGCTGCTTTTTTTTATATTGACCCATATATAATATTTTCAATTTAATGAGATTGAAGATATTTAAAATAATGTAAAACGATTCGAGAGCCTAATAAAGTCAGAGTATGAAAATGTTTAAACAGGAGACATTATAGGATTTCAAAAAATCGGTACGAGTTATATAGAATTTTGAAAAAAAAATATAATAATAAAGCTTTAATTTAGTACAAATTATTTTGTTTCCTAATAACGATTTTTATTTTTGTTTTTTTTCCTTTTCTTCTTTTGACTTTAGGAACCCTTTTTAAAAAAGCAGAACAAAATTATTTGCTGCAAATATATACTCGGGTAAACAAAAGAAAATTCAGAAATAGGAAAAGAAATTCTTAGAAATGTCAATTAACACAGCACATGCCCAAGGAGGGGTCTTGATTTTTGCTGGAGAAAGGTATATACATATATTTAGACAGTTTACATAAATTTTTTCCTGTGTGTTAATTTTGAATCGAAAAAAAAATGATTTGAAATAATAATTTAAGGTATCACCTGACTGTGTGTCATAAAATATGTAATCATGTCTATCATTAATGGAAACATACTAATTTGAAATAATTTGTATATCCTTGAACCTGGTGATGATTGATTTTTATTTTTACGGACATAACTACGGTACTATTGAACACATTGAAACAATTAATTAAAAGCATAGGCGCTCCCCATGTAATTCTGTAAATGACGAAAGATCCGTATATATAGGTCTATCCCTCTATACTATAAAATCAACATACAGGTAAATATCAGTATCTCGAATATGGGATATTTGCTTAAAGTCAAATTTATATATATCCGAGGGTATCGTGTAATAAACTCGTGGGCCGCTATTGGTTTTCTGGTCACTTGGTCGAGGTTTGATGGTTCCGTTGGTCACAGTTTATATAATGGTTAATAACCAATTTTTGGTTACTTGATTGGTAGACGTAATGACCAACTTTTGGTCACTTATTTGGTTGACGTAGTGACCAACTTTTGGTCACTTATTTGGTTGACGTAATGACCAACTTTTGGTCCCTTCTTTGGTAGACGTAATGACCAACTTTTGGTCACTTATTTGGTTGACACAATGACCAACTTTTGGTCCCTTCTTTGGTAGACGTAATGACCAACTTTTGGTCACTTATTTGGTTTATTGACCAACTTTTGGTAAAACAATAGGAATAACACTTGTTAAAAGTTTATAACATTTATTAAGACGATATATATATGGTACACTGTAACTTGGTTGGTACAACGTTATTTGGTTAACAAAAAGGTGACCAACCGATGGTCAATACAGGACGTTCCTACTAACTTGGTCCCCTTAATGGTTTCGTATACATAGACTTGGTATCTTATAACCGAAGTATACGGAGTCGTTCCCAAACCAGGGAAGGCTGTGTGCTCCGAGTCGCTCCCCACAGCCGACTGAAGTCTAAACCCAAAACAGCTGGTTTATATAGACAAAAGTTGTTATGATGACGTAAGAGACAATCAGATACCTAAATTACGTCACAATCAATACAATCAATAAGTTAGCGGGTTTTAACCAACAAAATTACCTACTAAATTAGTAACGTTGTACCCATATAAAACATACAAAATACATCACTTTCTCATTAAATTATACATGTTAAATTAATAAAGTCATTAAATCAATTATTGTTCATTTCTTTAAATCAATTATTGTTCATTTCTTTCGTTAACTGTTCATTGACAATTATTTACGGAGTTTATAAACATCGGGTTCAAGTTCCATATATTCCAAACTTGTAAACAAGAATTAACCCGAATTTCACAGGTACACTTCGTGAAACGTAACAATATATATGATTAAAATAACTACTGATATCTCGAACATGGTAATCTCAAATACCCCGCTTATGTCGAAGTATATTCAAAGTCCCCAGCCCTTTTTTACATGGCTTATCTCGAAGTGCACTGAATTTTTCGGTCCACTAAACACACCTGGCATCAAGACTTCACACATTCTCGCCAGTGGCTATTAATTAACACCTTCAAACCTGGGGAATCTTAATTAATCCCAAGCTCATGTTGGGTATCTGTGACAGGTTAATTGTTATGACAGTTTGGGTGTTTGGTGTAGTCTACGACCAATAAAACTAACCACTTCGCAGCGACTCAGAAATTAAATAAGGACAGTATTACCGATATTGCATTTAATAATATGTTCTGTATAATTGAAATCGTAAAGTCATATAACACAAACATTTTTCACAATAAACTTAAATTAATCAGTTATTAAAGTTGCAGTGCGTAATGCACAGTGATTGATTACATTCATGTTTATCTGCGTATAAATAGATAACCTTGACCGCCATTTGCATTGTTAGTTTCATAAACTATATGTTCTTTAGTAGTACATGTACTTCGTAATGTAATACGTGTAAGCTATTAATAATATTCAAGTACACAATATGAATACTGATTTTTTTTAGCACTCTAAATAACATTTTGCACTAAATTACCGGTATATCAAATAATGTTTTGAAAAAGATCGTCTTTTTCTTTTCTTACGGAGAAGGTTCTTCAACTATAACTCTTATGATACATCCCGTTTGACCAGGTAAGCATGACCTAGAAAATGTAAATTTGCTGTATATGCAATAAGGCATGTAAATTAAATTGTTTTACAATTATACACGATAAAGAAAACTACAATGTTGTTTTTTCTTAATATTTATTGCGAATATGCTTGAATCTTTACCATAACGACTACATGTCTGGTAATACAGGATAGTTTTATGTGTAAAGATATATACGCAAAAAAAACGGGAAATTGTTGATTCGACTTTGGAAGATAACTTCGGATATCTCGAACCCCCGGATATCTCGAAGTCGTATCCAGGTCCCCTCAACTTCGAGATACAGATATTTCACTGTAGTAAGTATAGAGGGGTAGACCTATATATACATATCTTTCGTCATTTACAGAATTACATGGGGAGCGCCCATGATTAAAATGCCCTTTAAATATGGTATGGTAATTAAAAACCTCCCAGAAAAGGGTCTGGGGTGTTGTATTGATAATACGGAATTGAAGTATAATGAATGTCAGTGATATTTAAGGAGAATGGATGTAGCAGTTAAGCAGTTTGATTAGATAGAATGTTCCATCCTTAAACATGTTAAAATGATAAATGTCCTCTGGACCCAGTTTAATGATGTGAAAGCCTGTCACAGACACAGATTATTCTAACTAGGTTTGATGGCCAAATAAAATCATTTGTTAGAGCCCCTGTATAGAGTTTAGCTGTTCAGGATTTCAACCCTGATAAGGCCTAAGGGCTATAAAACTTGGACAAGCTCACCAAAGGAATAAATAGTGGAAAAGTGAGACAGAGATCAAAAGTGAGCTCATCTATAAAGTTTTATATTGCCCCCAGGCCAGGTACATCAGTTTTCTCCCTTCTTGCTACAGAGCAGTGTAAGTTGGGGATTACTCAATATTGCAATATGATTATTCTATAGTATTAATCTTAGGTGTTTAAAACAGTGACTTAAAAAAGGTATCAATCTTTTTGACTGTTTATAATATTCCAATGCAGTAAAACAAGTTTTTAAACATTAACATTTTGCAAAAGTTATAATTTAATGTATACATGTACTTAATTAAGACTTACAAATACATTTCAAATTTATTGTAGCCAAAATGTTGAAAATTGAGTTGAAGATTAAATTTTGGGTCTCCTTTATGAAAAGACCAATGGCAGTTATTGTATGCTTGTAAATACTTACAATTAATGTTTTACACTAGGATTCTGTTATATTGTGATGATGTGGAAATCGGATTTGATGGAGGTAATCTACCAGAGTTCAAAGGTCACAAGAAAGGTCGAATGTACCTCACCACTCACAGGGTAAGTCTCATGAGAAAACAGCTGGAAAAAGTATGATTTAAATATTATATTTAGTAGAACAGCCTTTAGGTACTGTAAATCACTTTTTATTTGCGAGAACTTTAAAAAATTTTAATGCTCGCGTATAATAGTATCCCTTAGGATTATATAAAGCAGTAACCACAATTCGTGAAAATTTTGTCTCGTTTATTAAGAGTCAATGACTATCCAGCGAAAATAAGGTTTCGCAAAAATTTTGTGATCTACAGTAGTCAAATTGCTAATTATTTTACTATTCTGACATTGTCTTTTTTCTGGAATAAACTTGTGATATTCTAGAAATATAGTAAAACATTCTCTCTAAGAGTATCCTTTAGATTGGAGTTTTTTTTCTCTTTTTTTAGGCCATTTTTAATGCCCGTAACAGTAATGAGGTGTTACAGTCATTCAGTATGCCCTTCTACTGCATGCGGGAAATTGAGCTGGAACAACCTGTGTTTGGTTCAAACTACATCAAAGGAAAGATAATGTCAGAGCAAGGAGGTAATTAAAAGTTTGTCCCCCCTTTGTTCGGAAGAAATGTTAATTTTCCTCCCACACATTTTAAGTCTAAAGAAGTGTTGTTCTATAAAAATGAAAATATATTATGTAGGTATTTATTTGTGATTGGTCATACATTATAGGTTGACATAACTAAAATGTAGTGTTTTGTTTTTGCAATATTTGTACTCTCAATAATCCATAAATTCAAGCAACAGTAAAATCTTTATGTGTTTCATAGTCATTATTACAATCATGTATATCTACAGAATGAAGGATTTCAGGAAAATTACAGATAAACACGTGCATTTTATACAGTTATCATTGAAGATAATTCATAACACATAAGTATTCATTGAGAAGATTTGAATGTCAGAAGAATCTCTCTGTTTTCATCAGAGGTTTTTTTTAGCTCACCTGAGCCGAAGGCTCAAGTGAGCTTTTCTGATCACATTTTGTCCGGCGTCCGTCTGTCCGTCTGTCTAGCTGTCCGTCTGTCCGTCTGTCTGTAAACTTTTCACATTTTCGACTTCTTCTCAAGAACCGCTGGGCCAATTTCAACCAAACTTGCCACAAAGTATCCTTGCGTAAAGGGGATTCAAGTTTGTTCAAATGAAGGGCCACGCCCTTATTCAAGGGGAGATAATTGGGAATTAATGAAAATTTGGTGGCATGTTTTAAAAATCTTCTTCTCAAGAACCACTGTGCCAGGAAAGATGAAACTTATGGGGAAACATCCTCAGGTAGTGTAGATTCAAGTTTGTACAAATCATGACCCCCAGGGGTAGGGCAGGGCCACAATGGCCGACCAAAGTTTTACATAGAAATATATAGGAAAATTCTTTAAAAATCTTCTTCTCAAGAACAACAAAGCCATAATTGATCATATTTATATGGAATCATCGTCAAGTAGTGTAGATTCACGTTTGTTCAAATCCTGACCCCCAGGGGTAGGGCGGGGCCAAAATGGCCAACCAAAGTTTTACATAGAAATGTATAGGATAATTCTTTAAAAATCTTCTTCTCAAGAAAAGCAAAGCCATAATTGATCATATTTATTTAGAAGCATCCTCAGGTAGTGTAGATTCAAATTTGTTCAAATCATGACCCCCCAGGGGTAGGGCGGGGCCAAAATGGCCGACCAAAGTTTAACATAGAAATATATAGGAAAATTCTTTAAAAATCTTCTTCTCAAGAATAGCAAAGCCATAATTGATCATATTTATATGGAAGCATCCTCAGATATTGTAGATTTAAGTTTGTTCAAATCATGACCCCCAGGGGTAGGGCGGGGCCAAAATGGCCGACCAAAGTTTTACATAGAAATGTATTGGAAAATTCTTTAAAAATCTTCTTCTCAAGAATAGCAAAGCCATGATTGATCATATTTATATTGAAGCATCCTCAGGTAGTGTAGATTCAAGTTTGTTCAAATCATGACCCCCAGGGGTAGGGCGGGGCCAAAATGGCCGACCAAAGTTTACATAGAAATGTATAGGAAAATTCTTTAAAAATCCTCTTCTCAAGAATAGCAAAGCCATGCTTGGTCTTGGGACTAGATTTGGATTTAAGCTTTTCAAGTATAAACCAATTATGCGTTTTCCTAGCCACAGTGCTCAGGTGAGCAATGTGGCCCATGGGCCTCTTGTTTTACAGGGAAGTGGCAGGGAGTTGTGAAGATCAAGATGTGGTTTACAGCTGGAGGAGCTATCGAGTTTGGACAAGCTATGTTACGAGCTGGACAGCTTGGTATTATTATGATTAGCTCTGCTGCTTGATATGTATTTGTAAAATGTCCTTCATCCGTCCAATTGTCTCTCTATTGTAAAAATTAGTGTTTTTTAGCTCACCTGAGCCGAAGGCTCAAGTGAGCTTTTCTGATCACATTTTGTCCGGCGTCCGTCTGTCCGTCTGTCTGTCCGTCTGTCCATCTGTCTGTCTGTCCGTCTGTCTGTCTGTCTGTAAACTTTTCACATTTTCGACTTCTTCTCAAGAACCACTGGGCCAATTTCAACCAAACTTGCCACAAAGTATCCTTGGGTGAAGGGGATTCAAGTTTGTCCAAATGAAGGGCCACGCCCTTATTCAAGGGGAGATAATTGGGAATTAATGAAAATTTAGTGGTATATTTTAAAAATCTTCTTCTCAAGAACCACTGTGCCAGGAAAGATGAAACTTATGGGGAAACATCCTCAGGTAGTGTAGATTCAAGTTTGTTCAAATCATGACCCCCGGGGGTAGGGCGGGGCCAAAATGGTTTACCAAAGTTTTACATAGAAATATATAGGAAAATTCTTTAAAAATCTTCTTCTCAAGAATGACAAAGCCATAATTCATCATATTTATATGGAAGCATGCTCATGTAGTGTAGATTCAAGTTTGTTCAAATCATGACCCCCGGGGGTAGGGCGGGGCCAAAATGGCCGACCAAATTTTTACATAGAAATATATAGGAAAATTCTTTAGATATCTTCTTCTCAAGAATGACAAAGCCATAATTCATCATATTTATATGGAAACATGCTCAGGTAGTGTAGATTCAAGTTTGTTCAAATCATGACCCCCGGGGGTAGGGCGGGGCCAAAATGGCCGACCAAAGTTTTACATAGAAATATATAGGAAAATTCTTTAAAAATCTTCTTCTCAAGAATGACAAAGCCATAATTCATCATATTTATATGGAAGCATGCTCAGGTAGTGTAGATTCAAGTTTGTTCAAATCATGACCCCCGGGGGTAGGGCGGGGCCAAAATGGCCGACCAAAGTTTTACATAGAAATATATAGGAAAATTCTTTAAATATCTTCTTCTCAAGAATGACAAAGCCATTATTCATCATATTTATATGGAAGCATGTTCAGGTAGTGTAGATTCAAGTTTTTTTAAATCATGATCCCTGGGGGTAGGGCGGGGCCAAAATGGCCGATTAAAGTTTTACATAGAAATATATAGGAAAATTCTTTAAAAATCTTCTTCTCAATCATTTTCGAAAAAATAGCAAATCCATGATTGGTCATGGGACTACTTTTGGATTTAAACTTTACAATAAAAAGACATTTTATACTAGTCCTACCCTTGGTACTCAGGTGAGCGATGTGGCCCATGGGCCTCTTGTTCTCCAAATACTACTTTTCCTAGAGTTTGAGTCCATTTTTAATGAAATTCGAGTACACTGCAACAAGATAAATGTGTGCTTTTTATTGCCTTATTAGAAAGAGTACCAGTGTTAGACAAATGAATATTCATTGAAAAATTTAAAATGAAAAATGTAAAATGATTCAATAAATGAACTAATTTTATTTTACTTTCATTTTTAGCCTCCAGATACCAGGCCCAGCAGCCTCCTCCCTACACCCCTCCACAGGGCCCAGTTTACCAGGCCCCACCCCCCATGTACACCCCACAGTACGGGAACTATGGCTGGGTTCCATTTGGTGCATTCCCAACAGCTCCCCCAGGTTTGTATTACAGACACCTCTGCTGTGTTTGCAAGATTTAAGTTTATAAAACCTTGTTACCTCTATATTGCATCTTTATTCTATTTGTCTGTAGTTTTTATGTCTTAAAACAAACTCCTGGCCTCCTAAGTTGTGATAACAATGGGAGGTCAATGTTTTTCTGTTCAGTTAGTAAAAATACAAACATCCCATTATAGTTGATGCCCTATTTTGTTGCAGCTGAACAGGTGTACATGACAGAATCTCCTCCCCCTTACCCCGGTATTGAGCCCACAGCCCCACCCCCACCTACAAATGGCTACCCTCCCCAGTCAAGTGCAGGTTAGAGTTTCTCTTGACTTTTCAAATTTCTTCATACTGAAAATGACTGTGCCCTGTATCACAGACATGAAGGTTCATAAATACAAATATTTTAATGAAAAAAGTTGTAAATTGCATGAGTAACTTCTGGTACCAAATATTTCTTTGTAACAAACTTTGGAAGTAAATTCTTTATGTTGACTTCTATTTACAGATGCTAAGGCCCAGGAAGCTGCAGGATCTGCGTACTATAACCCGTCAGCCCCCCACAATGTCTACATGCCCCAACAACAGCAGTATGGAGGCTACGGTGCCCCACCCTCCTACTCAGACGTAGTCAACAAGAAAAACCAATAAAACAAGTGTTACTAAAAGTAACTGACACTAAATATAAATGTGGTATTGAACTTTAACTATCTGCATTTTTAAGGAGTACTAAAACGTGTTTACTTTTTTATCATTGGAAGAAATTTTACCTAAAAAATGGCTCCACTTATGCACTTTCTAGTTGATTATAAAAAGTATTTATTAATGAAAATGGATTGAAAGTGCAGCATAAGTGCACTGAAATTACATACTTTAATACTTTTCACAAATAAGAATCAATTGTACAATTATCACAACCAAAAATATTTATACATTGTAATGATTGTTTCATGTATTGTTAGGTTTATTACGACAATGTTAAATGTGTAAATTGTGACCTTATTTATTCTATAAGAGTACAAAGATGTTAAATGAGCATGCAGTAATGGGTCTTTTGTTCATCATGTCTAATGTACCTGGTGTTTTATAAGTCTTGCATTATTATTGAGTTTCTATTTCAGGTGTCAGGCTTTGTTATTCAGTGTTACAGGTTGCTGTTGTTTTCATTTACATGTACAACCCATGTATATTCATTCCCAGAATGCTGAGTCCATGTATTTAATAATGGGTCCATTTTTCTTTACCTGAAACACCTAGCAAAATCTGTTAGTTTTTTCCATCACATTTTACTCATATCTACTGGTAATCATGTACATTTTCTATCACTGAATTTTAGAAACAAAAATATTACCTTTATATTAAAAACAATATCACGCACATAAATGGTATTATGTATTTTCAAACAAGGATCATTGTCATGTTGAATGTCTGATTTTACCATCTTCTTTCATGGGACAGATAGGATAGATATTTCAAATTTCAAACCATTTGGGCAAAAATGTTGGGTTGAATTTCTTATATAATTTATATAAACTAAGAGAGATTTTGTATTTTGGAACAAAATTTAAAAAAGTTTCAGAAAATTTTAAGGTGAGAAACATTTTGGCCTACTTTTAGCTACTGTTAAATGTCATTTATTGAATATGTTTGAGTCAACAAAGTTTGCAATATGATGAATATGAGAATTGCCAATACCTTTGTTTCAATAGCAGTAATTACACTGTATATACACAGTATAGTTAGGCAAACATTTGTTATAGCTCTGTTGTTTTCAATAAAATCAGTGATTATGTTATTTTGTTTTGCTTGTTAAATTCTGAAATATTTCACAAATAAATTATACAAATACAATGTAATACCATTAGAACTTGCAGAAGGAGTGGATGGTGACTTGCCTGTAGTAAGAATTGCTTCAGGAGAAAAAAACGGGGAAGACAACTATTGTTTCTATCTCAATGTTCACTTTTTAGCTCTTCAACAAAAACAAGTTGATCTTATGCTTTAGCAACCTTGCGACATTGGGTTAAAGTTTTAGGAGCAGGTCCATTACCAAGTAACTGTATCCCATACATGAACCAAACTTGCCTCAATGATTCATCTAGGAAAAGACACTTGCAGAGTTGCGTCGAGTGCTGGACCTGACCTACATTTTCCTGATGAGTGACCAGGTTAAAGGTTTTAGAGCAGGACCAAATTCTGCTTTGTAAACAAGATGTGTTTTTGAAACACTGATGCTCTTGTATGAGAGCGTCTGTCTAGGGTTGAAGTATCTCAGATGCAAGTCAAACTCTAAAGTCAAGGTCAAAAGGTCAAAATTGATGGTGTCTAAAGATTTTTTTGTCACATTGAAGAATATATCTGTGAAATATGAAAGCCCCAGTGTACTAACCCTTCAAAAGTGAAGGTCAAGGTCAATTTTTTTAAAAAGTGGGTCAACTCTGAGGTCAAGGTCAAAAATATTTATACCCATTGAAAGGGCTTGCCACAATGAATACTCATTTGAAATACAAAGGCTCTAGCATTAAATATTCAAAAAAGTTTTGGACGTAAAAGTGGGTCAAATTCCAAGGGTATTGGTTTGAACATATTTTATTGTTAAGATGTTACAACAAAAGGATTGGACACAAGTATTTAATACTTAGAACGTCCTCTCCTTCCAAGGGTAAAGAGGTCAGATTTGGTGGTATTTTGTACAATTTTGACAAGAACAAAGGTCTTGTCACAAGGAAAACACCTTTGAAATATGAAAGCAATAGCCCCACCCACTAAAAAGTTTTGGGTTAAATTGGACAGCTGGATAGGGCAAAATCTATCTATCCCCCAAATCTTCGATTATGGGGGATAAAAATTAATAAGAGATTTTTTTTTTAAGTTAAGCTGTTTTCAAAATCCTAATTCGTATTAAATTTACCCTTTGCTATTGCTATTGACTGGTGCATAGTGTGATACATGAAATCATTTTCCAATTTTATCCGATTTAGTAATTTTGTCCTGTTTACAAATATGGATGCGCCCATGGGGACACACGTAAAATAATTTAGCAACAGTTATCGAATGAAATGCTCTTATATTTAACTCCGAACCACAAGTTTTATGTTACCATTTTATAGGAAAGAAAGTGTATGACGAAGTGGCCTGTTGTCATTTATTTGCTTCGATCAATGATGTGTAGGCCTGAATACTATCCGAATTTCCTTTGTTGACACTCTTAGAATGTTGATTTCATGTTTTTCGAAGATGTAAGTGTAATTTATATTACTTTCCTTTGAAAAATGAATATATCTTTTTATAAGTAGTCTAGATACATATACAAACACACAAAAAAACTTGTTTGGGAGCCAGTGCAAGCTTCCCTAATAAGACCTACCTGTTAAAGCACCCATAACTTACTTTACTTTGGTCAAAGTGCCCCTTAGATTTAGCCAAAGCGCCCCCTTATTTAATTTAATTTACAGGAAATTGATGCCACAAAATCATTGTGTCCTCTAAATTAGTCTAAGCACCCCATAAAAATTTTTATAGAAACGATCCCCAAGTTTGAACCAGGGGCGCTTTGCTGGTATTTGCATTTTGTAGAGTATGTGATATTTATATTACTGTAATGTTAACCACAGTTATTGACAGTAGTTTTTATGGTTTAACTTAGCAGACTTTCAGTAAATTTCTTTTGAATAATTTTCTGTAAATATTCTTGTAGGAGTGAAATGGCATTAACGAAGCTGAGTTTGCGACTGTGCCAAAGAGCCATTGTGTCTTTACACAGATCCTACTGTAGTGTGTCGCCACGGAATGTCCTCAAACTGCAGGAAAGGGGAGTTGTTCACTCCGTTTTTCCAGCCACACAGTAAGTAATAATCATCATAACTAATATATGATAGCTCATAATTCCATAGGACACAACTGTTAAAAGTTTTCTTCTCCATTCTCTAGAAAATAATATAATGTGCAAGAAATTTCTTTGTGTACAATTTCATGCTAATTATTGTAACTATTAGATGCATAGATGCACCTAAGTCTTGGCTATTTTATTCGGAGGTAAATGTATATAAGTCATTGTTATTGTATCCTTTCAGCATTCATGAATTGGAGAAACAGCTAGGCCATCCATTGACTGTGTATTGCGGGTTTGATCCCACAGCAGACAGCTTACACATTGGGAATCTCCTGACCATTATTGCTTTGTTACACTGCCAGAGAGCTGGCCACCAAACAATTTGTGTTGTAGGTGTATTAGTCATGTTTTATAAAATTTGTGATGAAGGAAAAACTTTGTTATAAAATATAACTAAGATCAAATCCTCTTTGATACAAGGTTACCCAGTTTACAAACAAGTACAATTCACAAACATTAAAGGATGAGGCTTTGCAAGCTTGAATACTTTTTGTGTCACTGAATTATTGGTATTTGTAAGAAGTTGTGTAAAATATTTATATAAACATTTCTGATGTAGGTGGGAGGGGCCACAGCCCAGATCGGAGATCCCTCAGGGAGAGCTAAAGACAGAAACCCCATGAAGCCCGAGGTCGTGGAGAGAAATGCGGCCTCCATTACTGAGAGTCTAGAGAGAATATTCTCCAATCACCAGCAGTACTTCTGGAGGAACCAGGGCAGGGAGCTTCCAGCTGTCAGGTAAGAACAGCGAGAAACACTGAAGGGAATTCTTGTGATGAAGATTTTGTCCTAAGTTAATTTCATGTGCACTGTTTACTATGAAAATTTTTTTTGTGATGCAGGATTTTGAACAACATTGATTGGTACAGCAAGCAGAGTGTGATAGATTTCTTATCAACATTAGGCAGAAAGTTTAGGGTGGGCAGCATGATGCACATGTCCAGGTAACAAGTCAATTACTGGTATTACCAGTAGATAAAATGGGCAATTTAAAGAAAAACAGAAACAGTTTTTTTATCTTGTCTAGGATAAAATGTGAATTGTGAAAATTTTAAAGCTGTAGTCAGAATGCATATTTGCATAATAAAAAATGATATGAAAATAATGAAGTTTTTTCTCTCCAATTCTGCAGTGTGAAGGCACGGATGGAATCAGAAGAAGGACTGAGTTTGACAGAATTTACATATCAGGTGTTCCAGGCCTGTGACTGGCTACATCTGTATGATAACTATAACTGTACTGTACAGGTAAGTCTTACCTATCAGGTGTTCCAGGCCTGTGACTGGCTTCACGTGTATGATAACTATAACTGTACTGTACAGGTAAGTCTTACCTATCAGGTGTTCCAGGCCTGTGACTGGCTTCACGTGTATGATAACTATAACTGTACTGTACAGGTAAGACTTACCTATCAGGTGTTCCAGGCTTGTGACTGGCTACACCTGTATGATAACTATAACTGTATTGTACAGGTAAGTCTTACCTATCAGGTGTTCCAGGCCTGTGACTGGCTTCATTTGTATGATAACTATAACTGTACTGTACAGGTAAGTCTTACCTATCAGGTGTTCCAGGCCTGTGATTGGCTTCACCTGTATGATAACTATAACTGTACTGTACAGGTAAGACTTACCTATCAGGTGTTCCAGGCCTGTGACTGGCTTCACCTGTATGATAACTATAACTGTACTGTACAGGTAAGTCTTACCTATCAGGTGTTCCAGGCCTGTGACTGTGTACTGTACAGGTAAGACTTACCTATCAGATGTTCCGGGCTTGTGACTGGCTACACCTGTATGATAACTATAACTGTACTGTACAGGTAAGACTTACCTATCAGGTGTTCCAGGCCTGTGAGTGGCTACATCTGTATGATATCTATAACTGTACTGTACAGGTAAGTCTTACCTATCAGGTGTTCCAGGCCTGTGATTGGCTTCACCTGTATGATAACTGTACTGTACAGGTAAGTCTTACCTATCAGATGTTCCAGGCCTGTGATTGGCTTCACCTGTATGATAACTATAACTGTACTGTCCAGGTAAGTCTTACCTATCAGGTGTTCCAGGCCTGTGACTGGCTTCACCTGTATGATAACTATAACTGTAATGTACAGGTAAGTCTTACCTATCAGGTGTTCCAGGCCTGTGACGGGCTTCACCTGTATGATAACTATAACTGTACTGTACAGGTAAGTCTTACCTATCAGGTGTTCCAGGCCTGTGACGGGCTTCACCTGTATAATAACTATAACTGTACTGTACAGGTAAGTCTTACCTATCAGGTGTTCCAGGCCTGTGACTGGCTTCATTTGTATGATAACTATAACTGTACTGTACAGGTAAGTCTTACCTATCAGGTGTTCCAGGCCTGTGACGGGCTTCACCTGTATGATAACTATAACTGTACTGTACAGGTAAGTCTTACCTATCAGTCCTGTGACTGACTTTAACCTGTATGAGAATTATGTACTGGTTAGGTATTCCAGGTACCTATCAGATGTTCCATATTTACAAATAGAGTAGTTCATGTAAGAACTACAGTGTACCTTTAATGATCATATAATTTTACCTGTGCAAACATTACCCAGTCTGATGTTATTTGCAGCAGTATGGAATAATAGATACTGGTATGTAATGCATATATTTTTGAACTGCTGCATAAACCTGTTTCTTGATACCAAACACCTTCAAATGAAATGAAATTTTAGACAGCTGTTATTTTTATACATGATATGAATGTTATTTGTGTAGGTGGGGGGAAGTGATCAGCTAGGGAACATTGTGTCTGGTTATGAATTCCTCACCAAGATACACAAGAGACTTTTCTTTGGTGAGTACTATTTACACTTCATAAGTCCATCTGGACATTCATGGATACTGTGCCAGATTACAGATGTTTTATAGCAGTTATTAGTAGGAAAGGGTGAAATATGTGTGTTATTTTGTCACTCTGTATTACAGGACTAATGGTGCCATTATTGACAACATCTGGAGGAGAGAAATTAGGGAAAAGTGCCAACAACTCAATGTGGTTAAATCCAGACAAGACAACACCATTCCACCTGTACCAAGTAAAATCTTTAGTTTCATATACACTGTATTCCAACAGAACATTTTATAAATCAAATTGATACTGCTTTGGAAAAAAAACACAATGTCAATGATACACTGTTTATTCAAATAATGGAGTAGCTTTAGTAACGAAGTTGCTTTGACGATAAATTCTTTATTAAATGTGTATTATTTTCAGCATTTTGTCAACCTTCCTGATTCTGATGTAGAGACTTACCTCAAGTTGTTTACCTTCCTGACAAAGAATGAGATCCAGGACTGCTTAGCTGACCTGAGGGTGGGTAAAAAATAGAGCCAACTTACTATTCTGAAAAAAAAATAAAGATGATATAGAGATGTCTTGCAGAGCAGAGGGTGGGAAGAAATAGAGTGAATAGAGATAGGTTTTAAGGACATTTTTGGAATCTTCAGCTGACCAGAGGGTGGGTAGGAAAGAAAAATGGTGAAACAGTTGACACATTTCTGATCAAGAACAATCAGGATCCTGTACTGTGCACATGTTTGAAATAAAATTCGAAAAGAATACAAGTCTTTAACTAACTACAGGGTATATTGTTTTGTCGTTTTTCTAAATAATATCCTCTTTTTATTATAGGACAAACCAGAATTAAGAAGATCCCAGAAAACAATAGCAGAGGAAGTAGTTAAACTTGTTCATGGAGGTTAGTCATTGATGGACACAAGTTTAAATATGGCTGTTTTTTGTTTAAAATCTTATGTTTTGAAATATTTAAAGAATTTATACACTGTATGCATCATGTAGATTAATCTTTGGAACATTTTCATTTCACTGTTATATGATTTTATTGTTGCAAATCTTTTGTTTGCTTTTTATTTTCAAAACGAAAACAAATGATATTCCCTAACAGAAGTAGGACTGGAGCAGGCGTTGAGGTGGACGGACGTGTTCTACATTCAGAATGTAGAGACACTAGCGGTACTGTCTGACCTCGAGGTCAACATCCTGTTCAGGAATTCCCCCATCACCTCCCTCCCCCTCTCCCCAGGGCTAAAACTGTCAAATGTCTGTAACAGAATCAACGTCTTCAAAAACCAAGGTAAATTTATACATGTATAATACAACAACTTGTAAAACATTGACTTCATTAAGCTTTCAAACTGCACATCCTCTTTTGATTAGATACTGTACCTATACATGTACTATTTATTTAGCAGCAATTAAGTATTACTGCCTTTGGCTCTTCTTCATATTTGCTACTTTATGTACATGCTAAGGCATGATTTAAAACAATTCTCATCATTCTGAAGATTCAAATATGCCATTTTTATTGTGCTGATCAGCTGAATGAGGGGATTGCGATAAATCTTTAATATTGCTTATCTATAAGCGTTTACAGTATCCTTGATCACTGAAGAAGTTCTATTTATAATTTTATAATCTGTTCCTTGAAGTTTGACACAGATAGTTATTGAGTCTCTTTATTTTAATGTGAAGATGAGACGGAGAAGAAGATAAGGGCGGGGCAGGTGAAGGTCAATTTTAGGCAGGAGAGGAACCCGGACACTGTGCTGAGAGAAATGGAACACATTCTGCCAAACGACATCACTCTTATAACGCTAGGTAATGAAATGGGGTTCGTTTTATAAGTAAATTAACACAAACACCATGTTGTAGATGTGGATAAATGTATATTCAATCAGTATTATCACAGCTCTGAAATATATAAACAATAATAAATATTTGATAACAATACATACATGTAGATCACTTGCCAGATAGCACGGTCAAAATGAGAGTTATTTCCCTTAAATTGTGCTCATGGATAAAACATTAAGAGTTGTCTTTCTTAATCAATAATATGTACAGAGTATAAATACTGGAATTTATAGATGAAACAATCAGATCAATAATACTGAACTTTTCCAGAATAATATAATTATAATGACAATATTCAAAATATATATATATCATACCTATATGTGATATAGAGCCATTCTCCAATTACAAATGATGAATGATCTATAACTCAGTGATCTAGCTGTATATAAATAAAACACAACTTTACTATTTTGCTCTCAAAAATATACAATACACTGATGTATGAAATCATTACTTTCATTATTTACACACTCATAAAATAATCACAAAGACTGAATCTTCATACTTCATATTAGAATATTAATATTTAGGAATTAAATAGATAAACAATTATATAGAGATAATGAAATTAGTAAAAGTAAACTTACATTCTGTCCAGTCTTGGTCATGGTCGTAATTTCAGTCAACATAGAAAATGGACAAACATATAAACAAAACCAATGTCTGCTGGTCAGACCAAGATCTCAAACAAAAGTAATTAACTAAGCTAAAAACCAAAAGAGAGGGAAACTAACCAACCAATGAAATCCAAGTTGGCCCTGACACTACACAAGATATAAATAGAAAAGGGACAGGGGTTAAAATGACCACTGTGATGTCATACATCTATAAATAACACAATGAACACAGATTGATGTAAATAATTCCATGTGGATTTATTCAATAAATGAAATGCTGAAAAGAAATAAATATCATAATTCAACTGAATTAATTTAATCCTGAAATATAATAATTAATATATGAAATAAATCACCCTATCACAGGTAACATGTCAATATATCACACGCACATATATACAGTAAAGCAAAATGAATGCTAAGCTTAATTCATTTGTTTTCTTGTATAATTAAAAAAAAAATTAACAAAATTTATCAAGGTATAAATGCATGCAATTAAGAAACCATTCCAATGTCACTTTTTTGAAAAATTTCTTTTTTTAATTTTAGGGAGAAAGATTCACCATGTAATCAAGTGGGTATCCTAGTGCTTATAGACACAGGTTTTATATGTGTGAATCATCGTAATCAAATCATTATATGTACTGACTGTGAATCATTGCTCCAGGAATGACCCTGATGAGAGACTTGGTGTGAATAATAAATTTAATACTAGCTACATACTTCCCTTTTGTTTTTGAAGACTGTGATACCGGTATGTAGAAAGCTGTTGTTACAAAATCAACTGCAGCTAAACTTGTGTACCTCAATCACTGATGTCTCAATAACCATGGAGCAAATTCCAGATTTACAAACCTCGCACAGAGAATGTTATAAAGAAACTACATGACAGCAGGAGTGAATAAACAGTCATTACATAGACTACAACTGCCAAAGTTTACTAAATTGTTATTTATCGGTCATACAGGGACGTAGCATCAGAACATTTCTATAGTAAAACATAATTTTTACTATAGAAAATGTTAATTGAAAGCACCCTCACCCCCAACCCCTTCCACTTTTGGTTGCAGTACATGTATCGATAAAATAAGGGTAAAGTAGTGTTTGAGTGAAAAATTTGTTACTGAACTGAAAGAATTTGGACACCCCCCACCCATACTTTTACAACCAAAAATAAACTTGTGGAATAATTTTCATATCCTATGGGGGGGAAAATGGAATATCTTCTATTTCTTTTTCTTTTTTTTTTTTTTTTGTATAATATACTATTATTTTGAGAAAGTAAAATGTTCATGTCCATCACATTAAAATAAAATATTGTACAAGGAAGCAAGTCAACTTTGATTCTTTAGTATATTTCAGCATGATATTTTCAAAAACTAATTTTTAATCGAATGTAGAAGATAAGTCAAATAGTAAATTGAAAAATTATATTGCGCGTTTTCAATTTTATCCGATTTTATTTTTTCAATTTGCAGATTGATGTAACGCAGGTTTTGATTGGTTGAATTCAGCCACGAGAAGGAAAGCACCAAAACGGCTCACGAGGCCTGTTGAGGCTGTTCGTTGAGTTTTATTTTAATTATCTTAAGTTTATTGTTTATTTCACGTTTGATAATATATAAATGTTGAAAAAATATCTTAGTCAATGTACACTAGTCTAAACGCGAAAGTTGTGAGTGGAAATGGGTGCATAGAGGAAATGCGGACTTGCATTGATCATTCACATTCATTGTGTAGAACTTGCATCATGTGTAGTTGAGAGTAGCTACGGGATCATTTTTTGAAAAGTAAGCTTTAAGAAGCCTTTTTATGATATATGAATTTTAAGTGGACTGCTGTCAATTGTCATATTGTTTGTGAGCCAAACTTTACTAATTTGGGAAGTGGTTCACGTTACCTGTAATGTCCTTATTGTCAGTTTGTCACAGCATTGACACTTCAGGGTCTAAGGAAAACGTTTTATAGGTAGGTAACATTGAGAAACAAAAGTGGGTTTAATATTTGAATTTAAAAAAAACATGATTTGATTTCATAAGAGTTCCTAAAGGTATGTCATGGCACTCATTGTGAACGATGTTATCCAAAGTCAAAAATACTTGCATTTGCATGTGGGCAGATGATAATTGGGCAACACTGGCAAACATGGTCTACAGTTAGATAACTTGAATTCCAAATACAAAACTACAGACTGTTTAGCATATTTTGTGGCCTTTGGCATTTAAAGACATGATTTTTTTTCTTTCAGATTCCACTAGAATTGAACCAAATCTGAAGCAGACTGAAAAGTCTCTGAAAAGCAGCTGATATTTTTAATTCTTCAAATGATGTAAATCACAAAAATGGCAGAGGGCAATTCCTCAAAGGACTTACCCCGGGGCCTCATCAGCAGAAGGGGACTGCCCTCGGGGAGAGGGGCTAGGTATGCTTTAGAATTACCAGCATTGCATTATATCACAATGACAAATTTTATTTTCAAGTTAATTTGAGTTGGATGATAGTCTCAATTTAGCAAAATCTTCAGGGTTATGGTTTTAAAATAATTTAAAAAGCGAAGTCCTAATCACGGTAACAATTATCAACAGAATGATTACTTTTTTATTGCAGACTGCCTTCAATAGGGAAGCCAAGAGACCTTACACTAGGAGGGGTTCCAAAGAAAGTTTTTACTCCCAACATCCCTGTTAGGAGAGATAAAAGTGCTGACAAGTATGTTAACTTTTATTAACAAGATACATGGCAAAAATCAAGGTTTTTCTAAAGTCGGTGAAAATAAGCTATTTATATTAAGTCAAACATGGTTATCTTGAACTTGATGGGACTAAGAAAAAGCTTTGATCTATCCGAGGATTTGAGCTATCAGGGGTAAAGTATTTGGAAAATAAGTGGATGGGACTTCCAAATTATTTCAACGTATCCAACATACTGTAAAACGAGAATATTTGGCGCACTACTAATTTTAGCGCCTTTGGCGCAAGAGCCTCTGAAGACTAAAATTTTTTGTGCGCTAACAGATTTCTAAATATCATTTTTTGTGTGTGTTCAAAGCTTTCACTTAAGTACGTGTAAACCGGAACGCGTGACTACGTATTGTCAAAGGGTCGTTGGATTTTATATATACACACTAGCACTGTACATGGAAGGATTGATTGAGAAAGTTCTGCCAAATTATAATTTAATTAAACTATTGTTAGCTGTTACCTGATAATTATGATCATAAGCACCTTCAAAGTTTGGCTTCTTGGCATGTCAATCATTTATTGCCTCAAGGTAAACAATGCAATCAAGCATGGCGATTGAGCTTGCAGACAATACCTGATTATGATTATCGTTTATCCAAGTAAATTCTTTCCATGCATGCATTCTTTTAATGTGAATAAAATGTGTAAATACTCCATCTCTTTTAAAATTAAAATAAAATTTAACATTTTGCCACATCCATGTGATTGTAAAACTACGGTTAAGTTGACAAATGTATACTTATGTACAGGAGTGCTATTGTGTTTCCGTGCTCAACTAACCAAAAAGTCAAAACACATGTAGGGGCGTGGATAAATAAAAAACAATATCACATTTATATTTTCTAATGACAAGTGCAAGTGCTAATATTTATTTCCGATAATGCATTCCCACTTGCGTTTGCGCTAAAATAAGTATGCGCCAAATGTTCTCGTTTTACAGTATTCAAAATATCATTGTTCAAGATAACAGAGTTCCACTGTATGTAATCTCTCTCTAACAGATTTTAATTGGGTGATAAAAGTTCATTTTACCGCTAGAATTCTTTTCAAAGATTTCTTTGTTATATATGTTTCTTGTATGTCTGGTTTGATTTTCTAAGTACTAACTAATACATACTAGTAATTTATAGAACTGAAGAAAAAGGAGAAAGGAAGCAGGAAGGGAAACAGAAACCAGAGAAATCTGGAGGGAGAGATGAGCGAGGGAGAGGTCGAGGTCGTGGCCGAGGGAGAGGGAGGGGGCGGGGCCAGGATGTCATTCAGTCCCACTCCATCTTTGAACAGGGCCCAACAGAGAAGATGGCTAAAGGTTAGTAAAACATTGTTTAATAGACTCCTATAAAATGATATGTGTAGAGAACTGGTCTTCTTACTCTTTAATTTTATGTAAAGTGAATACAATATTTATGAATATAAAAGCAAATCCAGAAAATATTGATGAAAAATTTTAAGGCCATTGATAAACATGTAAAATTTACTTACTTATTGTTGTACAGTTATAAACTCTCAGTTGAGCTTGTTTGTTTGAAAAATTTGAGAGTTACAGGGAAGGGTGTCAGTGAGGACTTTGACAATTATTGGGATGAATAAACAGGATTTATTCTTTATATTCAAGTTACAACAAATATTTTCAGTGAAATTCTGACAAAAACCACGCACAATTTCCAAGTTGTTTTACATGTACTTCTTTTGTGCAGGTCCTTCAGTGTTTGAGAGTTATGGAGGGTCCGGGCCTAGATCTGGTGGGGGAGGGGGAGGGTCCTCAGGTGGTGGATCTAAGACGGGTGTAAAGAAAGAGAGGACAGATGAAGAGTCAAAGCAAGTCCTAGACTATCTCCTGAAAGATGATGTACGTATAATAAAGAAAAAGGAGACTGTTTTATGAAAAGCTTTCTTATACATTTATATTCGATTTACTGGGATACATTTAAGTGACATTGGAGTTTTTGATGATTTTACATTTTACAATTTTGATATTTTTTTACTTCTATTTCCACTTCAGTTTATTGCTGGTCCCCTTTCTGAGGACAAGGGCATGGCACCAGTCCACTTACCTCTGTATATTGTAGAGGACATCAAACCTGCTGTAAAAAGTAAGATCTGTTTTACAGTTGTGTAATCCCATATGTATCTCTGTGTCAACAGTTTTAAGAATAATCCAGGCTGTTGATTTGAATTGAATGGAATTTAGGATGCATCAGTACTGTTAACTTCAATCATGAAATAAGTACATATGAGATACCTACTAGGTATATTCTTGATACATCCTCGATCAGCGTGTGTTCTAGTGAACGCTCTGCTTTTGCAAAGATGTTAGAGAAAAATCTGTTCTTACTTACAAATGATGTCATTGTGTTGAGATCATCAAAAGAACAGAGACATTCTTATTACACAAAAATGTCAGATTTGATTTATATGTGGGTTTTGTCTATTTTCTCCTAAGTAAGACATTTGTGATATACCATAAAATCATTGTAGAATTTATACTAGTTCTTTCATTTGATTCAAAATATAGAGATTAACAAATTCATATCCTCCACATATTCCTAATTTTTTTATATACATATCTCATTCAACCACAAAATCAAGTACCTGTGAATCAATGAAAATATAGTGGTTCTACTGAATATTTATTAGAAGTTTTCTGTCCATTTAGGTCTAATTTTTGTCTGGTCAAATATTTTATGATTTGAAAACTAATTTTGTGATTGATGCATTTGTTCAGTACCCGGTAATTTTTAGCTCACCTGAGTCGAAGGCTCAAGTGAGCTTTTCTGATCACATTTTGACCCCGTCGTCCGTCGGGGTCCGTCCGTCCAAGTTTTACTGAAATATTTCACATTTTAAAAACTTCTTCTCAAGAACCAATGGGCCAGGATTTTAACCAAACTTGGTACAAAGCATCCTTGTGTGTGGGGGGTTTAAATTGTTAAAAAATCAAGTCCCCTCACAAGGGGAGATAATTAAGAAAAGACAAAAATAGGGTGGGGTCATTAAAAAATCTTCTTCTCAAGAACCACTGGGCCAGGAAAGCTGAAACTTATGTGGAAGCATCCTTGTGTAGTGTACATATTAAATTGTTAAAATCATGACCCCCGGGGGTCGGGCAGGGCCACAATAGGGAATCCAAGTTTTACATAGAAATATATAGAACAAATCTTTAAAAATCTTCTTCTCAAGAACCACTGGGCCAGAAAAGCTGAAACTTATATGGAAGCATCCTGGGGTAGTGTAAATATTAAATTGTTAAAATCATGACCCCCGGGGGTAGGGCGGGGCCACAATAGGGAATCCAAGTTTTACATAGAACTGTATAGAACAAATCTTTAAAAATCTTCTTCTCAAGAACCACTGGACCAGGAAAGCTGAAACTTATATGGAAGCATCCTTGGGTAGTGTAGGTATTAAATTGTTAAAATCATGACCCCCGGGGGTAGGGCGGGGCCACAAAAAGGAATCCCAAGTTTTACATATTAAATATATTTAGGAAAAATCTTTTAAGAATCTTTTTCTCAAAAACCTTTAGGCCAGGAAAGCTGCATTGTGGAAGCATCCTGGGGTAGTGTAGATTTTAAAGTATTAAAATCATAAAAGGGAAAGGGGGGCACGACTCCACACCTAAATTTTTATATACAATATCTAAATCAAGGGGAAATCTGGTAAAGAAATTCATCACCCAAGTTACTCAGGTGAGCGATGTGGCCCATGGGCCTCTTGTTTCAGGTTTATATTAAACATCCTAGATCAGCTGTTATTCCAGTGAATATTCAGCCTTTGCACGATGTGAAATGAACATCTATCTGAGGGTTCAATGTTCATGTTCAGTGATTTTTGTGAACTTCTCATTCAGTCAGAGACAAGCATTTTGTCTTTATTAGAAGAAACAAGTTTGATATTCTACTGACCAACTAAAGTATTATCATTCTTTACTGGTCTGTTGCTTCTCTGTTAAATCGTTTTGGTTAAAAATAATGAGACAAAATGAATATTTTAATTTAAACACATATATTTTGTCTTCCCCTAAAGTTGATTGGTTGGTGTAACAAATTTTAACAATGCATGAACAATGATTGCTAGCTCTCATCTGGACTTAAAAAAATATCAGGCTATATGCTAGAAATTATTTTTTAATCTGCACATATTAAAAATATACTTTTAAAACATTATTTTAAAGTTGAAGCAGATTCAGTTGATGTGGAGATGACAGAAGGAGTTAAGGCCAAGGTGGATACATCTGTTAAAATTCCATCCAAGGCCAAGCTAGACCAGGAATCCTGTCAACACATGTTCTCTACATTGACTAGCGGGGGTGAGTTGGGGGAGGATCCATCAATTTAAAGCTTGGTTTGATTAATATATTGTATGTGTAGATATATGAATGATTCTATGAAGAGTTCAAAGATAGGTCAATCTTTTACTGAAAAATACAGTCAATTTATAGCTGTAAGGTTTAGAGGAAAAAATTTCAATCTGCATAGGTACACTGTAATACATTTATTGTGTTTCCTTGTTTTTTGTGAAGATCCAAACCAGATGGTGTTTGTCCAGTTTCCTGACGTCATGCCAGGGGTACCTGCTAGTTATGGGAAGGAAGAGGATGCCAAAAACAGTAACAAGGACCAGGTAGGAAATAACGTAAATCTTGCACTGGCTGTCTGTCTGTCAAAGGGTTTAAACTGAGATCACTAAACAAACAGCTGTAATAATGGAAAAGTCATTATTTCATCTCAAAGAATTTCCCAGAATTATTTTAAGTTTTGTCATATTATGTGCTATATTTTAGAACAGAGAAAAAAGAAACTTTATCTTAATGGAAAAAATTGAAGAGGTATTATAAAGTCAAATGTGAATAATTTTTATTTGTAAATTTAAAAAAAATCTTAAAAATTGGAAAATGTTCATGTGTAAGAACTAATTAACTTTTGGATGCATGTAAAATATTAATTTTTTTTTGGCTTTAACAGACAGAGACCTCAAAGAAAATTGGTGCCAGTCCCCTGTCTGGTTTTTCAGAAGGTCACATGGGAAAACTGGTCATACGGAAATCGGGTCGAACCTCCTTAATGCTGGGCAATGTAGTGTTAGACGTCTCATTGGGAACCAAATGTGGATTCCTACAGGTATGGCACTGAAACCCTAAATGATGCATAATTAGGGATTAATTTGTATCAACAATGTACAAATGTTGAGATTTATAATGTTTTATGTATGATTTGATGTTCTGTATTTGGTTTTTCCCTTTCCAGGATGTGGTTTCTATTCACACAGACAGTGCAGTGGACTGGGAGACCTGAGTGTTTTAGGACATGTGACACACAGACTGATCTGTACTCCTGACTTTGATTCTCTTCTTCAAGCCAATCAGACTTAACAACAATAGAGTGTGTGTGTGATGTCAGTCTGTGAACATGTGACAGTAGTCTTAACAAGACAGCATTGAGAGGGGGAACATCTCAAAAGGGCCACACAATTATTTACATTAAGGATTTAATGACCTTTTGGGGGTATGACCTTGAAGTTTAACTTACACCTTCCTTGGGTGAGGTATAAGCCACATGGTGCCCAGAAGAAAGAAAACAATGCTCATGATCAAGATTTTAAAGGGAAATATGGCTTTGTCCTCTGAACTCAATGTTCAAATATGACCTCTCTCTCCTCTTGGCTCATTCTGGCTAAAATATTACCAAAACAATTGCCTGTGGGTCAATGTGTTAGTCTGAGGTCAAGGTCAAACTTCAGTTTTAGTTATTCCCTTGTTCCTTTCATGATAATGTTCTTTACTAAAAGGGGGTCCCTTTGAGATTTGCACTATTCCACTGATATCCTTTAAAGATCATCTGGAAATAACAGTGAAAATGAAAGCAGTTTTCCTTTAACTACTGGGTATACTTCTGCTGTATTTATCTCAAACACAATTAAATTTACTTGTTTGTTATTTGTTGTTAATTATAGAAGGATGTCTTCATGTTGCTCCTTGTAAATAAATTTTGAAAACAATAAATTATTGTTAATAAAATGATACGAAATCAGAAAAATGTTTTTATTATCGGAAGAATTAATTTAAAGTGATGAGTATTAAGTATTATTTGCCACCCTGATGCATGGATTCATCAGAAATTGGATTGTTTTGGGTATATAGCAGCACCTGACCATGCTTACAAATGAATGAAATGACCCTGCACAAATGAATAATGCTTTTAAATGCATGATTGTGTTAATCAAGTGTGCCACTTCCAAACCTGCAATTTTCTTTGTTCCAAGGTTAGGGGTTTGGTGTTCTATTGTTAGGTTGGGCTTTGTGAAATCTCTTTAAAAATCTTTTTATTTGACTGTAAGCATCTGTACAAAGTTGTAGTAAGCAAGGTTATCTTTACAAGCATTTTGGTATACAGAGTGAAGTTAATTATTGCATGAATTTCTGAACACCACTTTGTCTAGAATACCATGGATATGTTGAATGTGCACACACAGGGTTTTTTTTCTCAGTCCCATCAGGATCGAGATAATGAAGTTTGACTGTACAAAAAGTACATGTACTTCCATATTTCTTAGTGGTCTGTTACAACGCACTTTGAAAAATTACGCACTTTGAAAAAATTTTTCAAAGTGCGTTGAAATTTGGGACCAAGCTAACGCACTTTGAAAAAAATATTTTTTTTTTCAAACTGGTATCATATTAACGCACTTTGAAAAAAAATGTAAAGATTGGTCAATATTCCTTCAAATAACGGTATGATAAATAACAGATTCTGGTTTGATAACTTTTTTATTATAAATACTGAGATATTGACTTTTAAATATCCAAGGTTTTGATAAAATAAAAGGGAAAATGTTGAATGTTTCTTCTTTTTTTTATTTTAGTCTTGATAAGTAGATGTAAAGGTGCATGGAAATCTTATATTTAGCATTTATCATAATAAAAAGGGGCCAATTTGATTGTTCAAAACACACATTCTTTCTCTCTCAAACGTTTTATTTTAAAAACCTAGTTTTCATTGTTTTAATTAAATCATTTATTATTGAAAGTTTTCAACGTCATACCAGTTAGGTAAATACATAATTATATGAATTCTTTGAGTATAGCATAGACATCGAGACTGGGCGAAGGGTCCCATATTTTGGAAAGATATATACATCGTATAAGCATTGAAAATGAAGTTTATTGCTCCCCTCCCCCGTTTTTGACACCTATGTATTGGAAAAAAAGTACATGTAAATCAATTCATTTTTGAGTTTAGGGTTAGGCTTAGTTTTTTTAAAGATAAATAACAAATTCTTTCCATGACTAAAACATATTTTTTTTTCTTAAGTGTCTCCATGGTAAAATATATCGATGTAGACTCTTAACGCACTTTGAAAAATTTTTTCAAAGTGCGTTGAGTTGGTCCCAAATTTAACGCACTTTGAAAAAATTTTTCAAAGTGCGTTGATTTTGTCCCAATTTTAACGCACTTTGAAAAAATTTTTCAAAGTGCGTAATTTTTTCAAAGTGCGTTGCCACAGTGGTCTGATAGACTTGTAAATATTGGATAGATAAAAATGAGACAAATTAATAGACCTCGTCTTCAATCTATGCATTAAAATGTTCTTCAAAGGCTGAAAGAGAATGAGATTGGCTTGTTAAAAGTGTTCAAGATTTCAGGTAAGAAATGTTTATCAAATAGCCATTTACTGATAATTGAAGCCGAAATCTGTGTGGTAGTGATCCGTGTGGTAGTGAATCACTCCCTCGCACCATTACAGAGATCCTACGGAGTTGTAGCAAGGCCTCTCTCCCCAAAAAAGGGAGAGGGCTACGTTATTGCTGCTAGTAAATGTGCAATGAAAAAAAAAATCTTAAGAGGAAATTTAATGGTTGCATATTACAGGAAGTCGCTTAATATAGGTATTTGCTATGAGACTAGATCTTTAAGGTTTCCTAACTTACTGATAATATAAATTAGTTTTAGTGAATAAATGTTGGTAGGTACACTTTGGAAAAAAAAAAGGAATAAGTACAAAAAATAAGTTTGGATTGCCCTTCATCGGAATCTATGAGTAATCTGAGCATGATGAGTACTACTGCTTAAATTTGGCGTGAGTTAAGCTTCTGTCAAAACTCAACTGATTCCCCCCCCCCCCCCCCCCCCCTTTTCCAAGACACGAAGAAAGTGACGATTTGAATTAACAGCCGTGCTTTATTCGAAATTGACACTTCACGCCATCGGTGTTATTGAAAATATAAGTATGAATGTTTGTCACAAAAAATAAAGACTTTTGGCTAAGAAAGAGAACTTCTGTTAACAAAAAGTGGGCGTGTCCGGTTCTGAACCCTTTTTGGAATTTTTTTAGAAGCTCGGACACAGGAAGTATACTAGGCGCTTGCGTGAACGTCATCGGCAACCAATATCGAAGTAAATAATGGCGGAGGATAAGTGAGAATATTTACAATCAACGGCAATCCGTCCCTTTTTGCTGTCCAAATGGCTTTGATTACACTTTGATTAGAAAGATTATTTATTTGATGAGCCACTAAGACTGATTTGAAAGACCTGCAGAGGATAAGGTACATAAAACAAAGCCCGATCGATGCCCTAGTCTCTTTGTTTTCGTTTTGTTTTTGTTGTATATTTGACAACTATGTCTAATTTCACGAATGTCGTCTGTTTGTAGATGGAATTGAGGGTCGGAAATAAATATAGACTTGGAAGGAAAATTGGAAGTGGATCTTTTGGGGACATTTATTTAGGTGAGACAATAGAATGATTCACAGGAAGTTTTGACAGCTAAGTTTCAGTCTTTTGTGATGTCATAACATTATTATGAAGGAAGGATTTATCGATATTAATATTAAATGATTGAAAGTATATATATCTAATTAAATTGTATGTAAACGACAGATGATAATAGATAACTTTCAGATCCCGTGGTGTTGAAGTGGTGTCAATTTACTTCGTCTTGGATACACCATATCATTCACTCATCATAAATCAGAGAAATATTAAACCTCATTATACAGAGCTGAACTCTATGCTTAATTTCATAATGCAGTACATTTTAAATCAATAAATGTATAATTCAATGTATAAAGGAAAATTGAATGAAAATATCCATTGACCTACTGACACATTTTCATTGTATGTTGAAAACGAGAAGTTAATATTATGGAAGCTCAATATTTTATTACACAATAAACTTGAAACTTTATTTATTATGGAAGGAAATTATTTGATATAGGCCTATGGATGTAATCTCACATTATACAGAGAATATAATTAAACAAATATTCATAAATCACAAGAAGTACAGTTGGTGCAAAAATGTAAAGAACAACTTGCATCTAATCTTGCTCTTTCTTAAACTAGACAACCTGATTTTTTCTGCCTTTTCTTTGTCTCTACATTTTAAAGTTCATGCCCTAGTGTGATCCATTATAATTATTCACATTGGCTGATTATAAGTTAATGTCAAGTCGTTATGGTCTTGGTTTATAATTTATGTGACAAGAAGATAATGTGACATGATTATACTGAGGGTTTACCTTTTAATACATGTAATAATTAATTCTGTTGCATTAAGCATGTTAAGAGCTTTGAGAGTAAATTTGACATTTCAATGTCAAAAAAATATTTTTTTAATAGGATTTTTGTATATTTAAAATAAGTTAGAGATATGAATGAGGAAAAAAGTAATTTTCATATAACATAGAATGTTTGTTTATGTGAAATACCTCATCTTCCATCTTCATATATTCAGGATACCAGTTTATACACTGTATCAAAACTGGACACCAAAAGAATCTGAAACTATCTTAATCTGATGTATTCATCCATTAACCATTGTTTAAAGCTTTTATCAGTATAATGACTAATGATATAATGACCAGTAATAATCTTATTTCATTGACAACTATCATCACAATAATATTCTCAGATTCAGGGGATTAATTTTCAAGTTAAAATTAAATTGTTAATATGACAGCTGGATAGAATTCACACTAGAACAGAGTTTGAATGACTGTTAGTCATGTATCCATATCTTGTTACTTTACAGGGACTGACATTTCCAACGGAGAAGAGGTGGCCATTAAATTAGAATGTGTGAAAACAAAGCACCCTCAGCTCCACATAGAGAGCAAGATCTACAAAATGATGCAAGGAGGAGGTAATCCTATATTCAGGGCCTCTATTCAGAACTTATAAAAATCTAACCGTTAATTCATCAAACTGTATCCCTACCTCACATTACCATATTACATTTACATAGAAATATCGAGGTTTCATGAAGGTTTTCTGTGACGTTTTAGAGTTGGTATCCTTAGATATTACATAGACATATGATGTTTTGTGATTGTGTCTTTAATATTATTGATGTTTTATAGTTGGTATCCCTGCATAACATGAATAAATTAAATATATAATAGAGATGTTTTATGAAGGTTTATGTTTGCTGTTTTGTAGTTGGTATCCCTACCATCAGATGGTGTGGAGCGGAGGGAGACTACAATGTAATGGTCATGGAACTGCTGGGTCCTAGTCTGGAGGATCTCTTTAACTTCTGTTCTCGGAAGTTCAGTCTGAAAACAGTCCTACTACTAGCAGATCAATTAGTAAGTCACAAAGGTGTACGGAATTTAATAAGTATATCTAACAAAAATAAAATCATCAGAGCCAACAACAAAAAAATTGTGGCTCTGTGTTGTAAAATCATTCATTATTCTGCTTGATTATGCATTATACAAGTTTAAGTTTTGCAAATATCAATAAAGTTTGAAATATTGAAGTAAAACTGTAACTGATGTTATATTCCAGATAAGTAGAATAGAATACATTCACTCCAAAAACTTCATCCATCGAGATGTGAAGCCAGACAACTTTCTGATGGGACTCGGAAAGAAAGGAAATCTTGTGTATATTATAGACTTTGGACTTGCCAAAAAATACCGAGATGCCCGAACTCACCAACATATTCCATACCGAGAAAACAAGAATCTCACGGGCACAGCCCGATATGCCAGCATTAATACACATTTGGGAATAGGTAATGTTACAGCTGC